TTTTTTTTTTTTTTTTTTTTTTTTTTCCCCTTTCTTTTTTTTTTTTTTTTTTTTTTTTTTTTTTTTTTCTCCCCTACTGAGCTACAAGCTTAATTTAAGCGTTTCATATTGAATGTCAAAGACTTGTTCTTCCGCTTCAAAAGTTTTGAACCTACCGAAGGAAAATCGGTAAATATATATGCACTTTCGTTCAATAAAATTTAAGAATGAATACTTGGTTATTGCATTTTTGATGTGTTGAACTTAAGAACAGGCAATATATGATTTACCACCAGTAGTTTGCGCCCAGTTCGCGACTCCAGAACGATGTGGCAACAATCATTTGTTTACTTTTAAAGCGCAGGGCAAATTAACATGTGTAACGCTTTTTTTTAATTAGATTAAAAAGACATTACCGGACCTTCCGGACTGGTTTGATTACAAAACAAAAAACAAAAAAAAAAAAAACACGAGGTTTTGTCTAGTATGTATATAAACAGGGTATGCATTAATGTTTTAACTCAAGATCTCCATCTGAAGGGTCACTGACAAACTGGTCGCGCGTATAATAAATTGTCAAGATAAACTGAGAGGTTTTGGAACCTTTGTACAAACATATTTGAGATTTGTATCCTTGGTGCTAAGGACTAATTTGTACTGAAAATGCCAACACTGTTTGCTCAAAGGCCTAAAAACAGATCATACTTATTATTCATCTCAAGTGTAGAAAAAACCCTAGGGTTTTGTGTCTTTGACCTAAGCTTGGCTTAGCAGGATAAGCGCTTCATATCTACCTGTCTGTCAACCGTTTCTTCGGGATTTCAATGCACTGGGAAAAAAATACATACAGGGATGTCTGCTATTTTCTAAATCAAAGGACACATCTAAGGAAAAAAGGAAAAAATTCATGCAGATCAACTGTTCTTTACAGACACGAGTCAGTGGACAGTGATTGGCAACCTCTTCCAAATCTAAACTAAAAAACGTTCTACAGTATAGAATGAAAAAGAGTGCATCCGCTAAATCTGGAGTCTAATTCTAAACAGATTTTGGCTTCATCGCAAGAGGGTGATATCCGTAAATAGTTAAAATTATCAGGAAACCTTTCTTCGGTTCTTAGCGGTGTGTTTGTCTTCACCGCAATTCTATAGTTACATATGTAAGTATGTGAGCTAACGATACAAACAGACCAGGCATTTGTGATATAGCTTGCGTGCTGTAAGCTGGTAATGGTAAGATTTAAAGAGAAGCTGTACCAGACAAAGAGAAGTGTCGAAAGCAAAACGTCATCTGGTATACTTTGCCAAGCACTACATACGGAATTGCCTTGCAAGGTTAGAAGCTCGTAGTCTCAGTTGCTGCCAACGTAAGCATTGTACGAGTTGAACGACGAATACGATTAACATTCTTTATCAATAACTAAAAGCCCCGAAGAAAAAAAAAACATTGATACCATCTATTAACGGCCAAGGAAAATCACCCCAATTTTTTCAGTGCTTGCAGACCTATACACGGCACATAAAGCTACAAGCTACGACCTTACCATCATGGAGTCAAAAAGCGATGTAAATGCATCCGTTCCAACAAATCATACAGCTGATTTTCCAAGTCTCGGTGAATCGGTAGAGTTCAGATCAATCAAAATCAGTTTCTACTTTTTGATTCTGTTTGGCAGCATCTTTGGGAATGGAATGGTTGCGTATGTCATTTGTTCCACTCGAAAAATGCGCACCTCATCAAACTATCTTATTCTGAACCTGGCTATATGTGACATCTTGACTCCTGTTATTAGCATACCGTTTGATTTTGTACTTGAGGACAACGGCTACGTTTGGCTTTACGGTGGATTTTTGTGCAAGACTCTATGGCCTGCAGCCACCATGACAGCAACTTCATCAGCCTTAACACTGGCGTTGATATCGTTCGACCGATACCGATTGATCATGCATCCTTTTAAGCCTCGTTTGACTTCTAAAGTTATCAAAATTGCAATCATTTGTATTCATATCTTTGCAGCAATTGTAGTTTCACCTTATGCAAGTATGTTGGAGTTGCAGAATGGTTCGTGCTCAGAGGTATGGCCTAATGTTTATAGAAAATGCTACACTGTTGTTTTATTCCTTGTGCAATATGGGATCCCTCTTCCATTTATGGTCAGGATGTACTACCTAGCATTGAAGAATCTCTACAAATCAACCCGCAAAACGTCTATTATGCAAGCGCCGTTCATCGACTTTAGCAAAGATCAAAAAAAGAAGAGTAGAAAAGAGAGGAATGAAAATGCAAATAGAAAAAGGAGATACAGCGAGAGCCAACTAAAAGAAAACCAGTCCAATAAAAAAGCAACGAAAATGTTCATTACAATAGTAACGATTTTTGCTATATTCATGCTTCCAAACCAACTTGTATGGCTTTGGGCAGACTTTGGAGATGGGTTTTCTATTCAAGGTTTCGAAAAAGCMGTCATTATCTGCTGGCTTTTTACGTATTGTAATTCGGTTTTCAACCCGGTGATTTTTACCATCTTCAGTTCCGATTATAGGAATGGTTTTAGAAGGATTCTTTCGTATTTGTACGATAAAATGAGTGGTGCACCGAACAAGGAAACCCGAAAGACATCCAATACTTCTCGATGTACGAATATCTCGGTTGCTGACGAACAAAATGGAACGACTTTACGTCTGCCCTTCGATTCTATTGAAAAAAACCTTACGTCAAAATCTGCAAAATAGCATAACATTGAGTTATCAAGCGTCTCACGAGGGAAACTTAATCATTATTTGTATATACTTTAGAGAGAATAATAGAAAAGGTTAATGAATTCCTGGTGTGAAAACTAAAATCACATTAAGGCAATAATCAAATGAAAGTTATTTTGCCTCTAGGCAATCAGTTGGGGTAAAAAAATAATATTTACATAAGTCGTTAAGATTTATGACAGTGGCACAAAAAAAGATTACCAATCCAAGGACTTAGGTTGAAGGAAATTAAATAGAATCAGATGTACGGCGGAGGAGTGAAAAATAGCAATTAGTTTACGAAATTAAAGGTTGTTTTTTTCTGGGTTTTTTTTTTTTTTTCTTTTTTCTTTTCGCGTGGCGTATAGTCACACGTTGTATACTACTTAAAGTTTTCCAATTTGCCAATTCGAAATTTCGTATTGCCATTGTACCTGCACTATTCAAAAGCGAATGAATAAATTTATTCAAAAAGGAAACCTCGTCGCTTTCCTTTCCCGTAGCGGATTTACTTAGGTAATTAAAGAGGATGCTCTCAAAAGAACAAAGCTTTTAAAGTGCATAAATACTGAGGAAGACGGTTTGAAATTTCAACCTCCATGGTAGGCGAATTCCAATCGTTCAACTTTGTTTCCTAGTGAAATGTAAAATACAAGCCTTGTTTTATAAATAGTAGAAATTAAAAGGTCGAGTTAATTTGTTTTGAACGGATTGTGCTATGCATAGACGGAGTATAGTTTGTACAAAATTCTAATAAAACTACCATAGTTTGGGCAAATGTTTAATTATATCATCAATTGATCGGTTGCAAGCATTCTCAAGAGAGTCAAAAGACAAAAGCATGGCGTCCATTGTGGTGCCGTTAACAATGGATGCTCATGAGAAATCTTTTGTTAAATGGCACCAACATGGCCGCGATGACGTAACGTGCAATCGAAGAATAACATATTAATAATTAAAAATAGTGATGAATAATCAAGAGGTAACCCTTTCAAAATTATTTTGAATGTGAAGCTAACGACATATAAAATAAATCACACTTGATAAATTTGTGCCACTTCGTTTTGTATTTACTGGTTAACCTCGTATTAAGATAATCACTTGAAAAGGGTTTATGAACCATGATCGTTTTATATCCATCAAGAATGCAGTCAATAAACACGAATTGCGTTCGGCTGTTTCTCGCTCTTGTTCTTAGTTGCTAGGCCTGGCAATGAACTTGGTTCCCCATTTGGCCATCTTGTTGCTGATTGGACGAGCACTTGACTCTTGAAAAGATAGATATTCTTTCATTCCAGGCAATTCCTGTAATATTAAAAAACAACAACAGATATATGAAGTAAAAAGGCAGGCAGGCAGGCAGGCAGGCAGGCATACATATTACTAGTCTACAAGCAAGAGGTGTTACTTACTGCTATCCTTTTCATGTAGTTCTGCAACAACAAAAATTACAAACGTGTTGTATCAATATTTTATTTCCAGCATAAAAGTAAACCATTGCGCGAAATATCAAATGTTTTCGGACATCTAAACAAATGCATGCATCAAACATTTTGTATTTGCAACATATAACACTCAACTCAAATGTTGCATGTTACTGAGGGGAAAAAACCGGAAAAGCCGAAGAAACTCCCGTAGCAGGAGAGAGAAAAACACATCAGACAAACTCAACTCACATATGATACAAGAATTTACTAATATTTTACAACCATATTCACAACATATAACACTCAACTCGCATGTTGATTGGAAGGAAGGAAACAGGAGAACCCGGAGAAAACCCTCGTGGCAAAAGGGGGAGAACAACAAATCAAAATATCTCGACTCAAATATGATCCAGTCTGCGCTGCTCGAACCTATACCATAGCGGTGAGAGGCAAGCAGTTAACGTCACCCATGCATCAAATAATCCTCTTTATCTTGGGCGCAATGTTTCCCCATTTCAGACCACGTCATTTCCTTGAGAATAGGATTGTTTGATTGAGGCAACATGCGCAACCGTTAAACAAAGAAATGATACTGTAGGGAATGACACATGGTCTGAAATGGGAAAACATTACGCCTGAGATATAAAGGTCTATTAACCGGTACAACAGCTGTCGTGATTACTTGATCCTTACCTTGAGGTTTGGATGCTCATCAAAGACAGTAGGGTCAAGAGTACGAAGCTGGTCCATGGCTTCCCAGAACATGAAGTCAGCGAAAGTGATCTAGAAAGATACCCAAAGATAAAATGATCATAAATTACAGATATGTTGCCAGAGCTTCCAGTCTTAGAGCAGTTTTCGTATGAGTGGGAAACACTGTACTGACTTAAAGCATTATGTACACGGTACGCCATGCCGTAAGATTGAAATGGCTTCCCAAAAGATTGGTTATCGTAAGAGTGGGAAACATACGGTACTGAATTACAGCACGTACACGGTACGACATGCCTAGACATTGAAATGGCTTCCCACTTTCGCATGTGATTCGTCGCAATTACAATTACAGTTTTCGTATGAGTGGGAAACACGGTACTGACTTACGCCACGTACACGGTACACCATGCCGTAACATTGAAATGGCTTCCCATAAGATGGGTTATCGTAAGAGTGGGAAACAAACGGTACTGACTTACAGTACGTACACGGTACGACATGCCGCGACATCGAAATGGCTTCCCATAAGAATGGTTGTCGTAAGAGTGGGAAACAAACGGTACTGAATTACAACACGTACACGGTACGACATGCCAAGACATCGAAATGGCTTCCCGTAAGAATGGTTATCGTAAGAGTGGGAAACATACGGTACTGAATTACAGCACGTACGCGGTACGACATGCCGCGACATTGAAATGGCTTCCCACTTTCGCATGTGATTCGTCGCAATTACAACGCGTAGTTACGGCTACGGTAAGATACGATACGGCTACAGTACGACTACGAATTTGAAGCTTTCGGACCGAAGGAAAGCAGTGGATGAGTATAGTAAGTCAAGTGTATTAATGTTACTGCAATTTTCATAAACATGCGAACTCTGTGTCTCCCAGTTGCAGCCAGAAATTTGGTCTTTCGCTGCCGTCAATCAAACCTAATCAGTCGGTACCTCATACTACCTCATATTTTTGACTGGCGGCAGCGAAAAAACAAATTTTAGCGTGCAACTCGGAGGCACAGAAGTCGCATGTCTATGAAAATTGCACCAATATTGTATAGTTATTTAACGATCAAGCTATTCTTGTAAACTAGTATTTTTATTCAGCTCACATCCTGGCCTGTCATGTAAGGTTTCTCTCCCAGATAGTTAGCAAATCTTTTGACGTTGGTGCGAATGTTCTTCAAGTATACTTTGATATCTTCGTCCTACGATACGGAAAATACACCTCGTTAGCTTGAGCATAATGTTTTTACAGGCAGACCACGTGTCATTCTCTTGAGAACAAGATTCTTTGTTTGAGCTGTATGGATGTTTGTCTTCTCATGTGCCACTGTTAAGCAAAGAAGTGATACTCTAGGAAATGACGCTTGCTCTGAAATGGGAACGCATAACGCCCAAGCTTAAGAGCTCTGTATCAGTGGCAAGAATAAAACTACAAGACAGCAGAGTATTTCCTATAGTACCTTTTTTCCTTCTCTGTTTGAATTCTTCATTCTTTCTTTAATTTCTTCCTTCCCTCCTTCCATCCTTTCTTCCTTGCTTGCTTTCTTCCTTCCTTCCTTTCTTTCTTCCTTTCTTCCTTTCTTAATTCATTCCTCCTGCCTACTTCCTTCTTTCNCTTTCTTCCTTTCTTCCTTTCTTAATTCATTCCTCCTGCCTACTTCCTTCTTTCCTTCATTTATTTATGCCCTCCTTTTCTTCTTCCTTCGTTCCTACCATCCTTTCTGCTTTCATTTATTCATTCTTTAGTTCGTTATTTCTTTTTCTTATTTCTATTACTTACAAAATTCTGGCAGAAGTAGGTTGCCTTGACAAAACCCAGGATGAAATCTAAAGACTACGAAAAGAAAATCGCTGTTTTTAATAAAACTAAAAGAATAATCCACTACAACTCTATCATTACCGACACCGCTTTCATTACCCGCAACAGCCAGCATCATTACCTCCACCATCACTGCTATCATCATAATCACCATTACCCGAAACAGCCAGTATCACTACTTCCACCATCACTGCCATCATCATCATCACCATTACCACTAACAACCAGCATCACTACCTCCACCATCACCGCCATCATCATTATCACCATCATCACCGCCATCATCATCACCACCATCATCATCACCATTACCCCTAACAACCAGCATCACTACCTCTACCATCACTGCCATCATCATCATCACCATTACCCCAAACAACCAGCATCATTATCTCCACCATCACTGCCATCATCATCATCATCATCATCATCACCGCCATCAGCATCATCCCAATAACCATCACTGCCACCATCATCACTACCATCACCGCCATCATCATCATCACCATCAGCAGTAACAACACCAATGTATGTATTATGGTCATCTGTTATCATCTCGGATCGAAGTACTGATGAAGCTCATAAATCACTATAATATTTTATCGTGCCAATTGTGACTCACTTCTAGACTAAGGCAATCACAGAACGCTCTTTGTTCTACGGTTTTTCCACCTGAGAAAAGAACAATTAGAGTAAAAAATCAAGCAATGTTTCTACCAGGATCATAAACCATTGTAATTTGAATAAGCTACACTTTTTTGATCCTGAATGATGTTAGAGTGAAGGTATTTAACCCGTTAAATAAAAAAGGTTAGTCAACGTGTAAAAGTCAAATACCGTATTTACTCGAATAAGCGCCCCGGAGCTTATTAAAATTTTCACGTCTAGAACGGGGCGCTTATTCGGCGGATGCGCTTATCGAGGGAGGCGCTTATTTAATGGGAGGAAACGCGTACACAACTGTCAAAGTATGCTTTTCTTTAGTATCAATGTTATACTACTACAACAGTACTGGTATTAGTATACTATAACGAGAAGAAGCACTTATGTTAATTTTCTATATATTAACGTGGTGTACATGTGTTCTATCAACTTTTGTTCATTAAAATGTGAGCGATTTAGTCAGATTGTAGCAATATGCACAATTCTCCGAATAAGCGCCCCCTTAATGTGCGACGCGCTTATTCGGGGGAGGCGCTTATTAATTTTTTTGTCCAATGAGGGCGCTTATTCGGGGGAGGCGCTTATTCGAGTATATACGGTAGACACAAAAGAAAACAATGGAATTCGGGCCTACTAACGCGCATTAGTCCTATATCTATTTCACGGGTTAAGTGGCTTCACTATGATCTCTTGCATTCGACTTGAGAAAGATAACGTGCTTTTTTAAATATTGACTTGTTACGATAAGAGCGGTACTTACAAAGATCATGTTTGCTTGCGATGTGTCGCATTATCTAGAAATGAATGAAAAGTAACAAGTAAAAAAAAATTTCTGGTCACAATTAAAAAAGCTGTTCTATTACTTAAATTATGCAGAAAGAAAACAAATGTAAAGATGAAGTTTTCCATGATGTTCTCTCTATTTTGCGAAGCAGGCGCCTGTGCGCGGATGGCGTTAGCAACGTACCAAGTTTACTGATACAGCACAGTTTTAAACAAATCAGAGCGCGCCATAACGCGGTGACGATTACAAACTTCTAAAGCGAGCCTTTAAACTAAATAAAGTCGTCCTTGTTTTACTCCAGAGGGTAGCCAGTGGCTAACAAACCTGTGGCGCTCATCACATGATTAAATAAATTTTAGAAAAACCCTCGCCCAAAGATTCAAGTGATCCGAGCAAATCCGCCTAGGTACGAGTCCCAGTTTCTTTTGAGAAAGCGAAATTAGTGCATTGTGGTCTAGCTTGGGTATAAACATCTTTTGTTCATCATGCCTTATATGGTGTTGTTTTTAATGAATCTAGATCATAATGCATCTTGTTATTGAAGTAAGAAAAGTTGTATAGTTTGAGAAAATCCATCTTGTTATGATAGACCATTTCAAACCATGTGTCATTCTCTTGAGAATAAGATTCTTTGTTATAGTTGTATCCATATTCATGTGTCTTATTCTCATGTGCAACCGTTAAACACTGAAATACTACTCTAGGGAATGACACATGGTCTGAAATGAGAAAACAATACACCCAAGCTAAAGAGGTCTGTACCCCAAAACCATTAAACAAAGAAATAATACTCTAGGGAATGACACGTGGTCTGGAATGAGAAAACAATACACCCAAGGTAAAGAGGTCTGTACCCCAAAACCATTAAACAAAGAAATGATACTCTAGGGAATGACAAGTGGTCTGAAATGGGAAAGCATTGCGCCTAAGCTAAAAGAGTCTTTTATGTCGGAGATTCAAAGTTAATAAAGAGTTTTAGATTGACTTTTTTCTTCCCGCAAACGGCAAACGTTACCACGTTTTCATCGTTTTTTGTTGTATTTTACTTTACCTGATGCAAACTTTCATTTCACAAAAAAAAATATTCTTTTGTTTTTCTACTACTTGGATTTTTTTGCGATTCCTTTTCAGTTATTTAGAAGAATTTTTCACTGATCAACTGGCGTCAATCTAAAACTCTCTAATATAAGTATACTTACTGCTAGACTTTGGGTAAACTTCAAATCTCCTTCAACGTAGTAAGGTAACTAATAATTGGAGAAGAAGAAAAATTAGCACTACAGAAACGTGAAAAAATACTCTCTTAAGAGTGATTTTCTCTTGAGTCGGCCGAATCGGAATTCGTCGGAAGTAGTTCATACGGCTGAAGCATTTTGTTATTTACATTTGGGAATGGAAGACCAAGTTTTTCCTTTACAGAAAGCCAGCCATCCTTGTTATAGTCTGGACCTGCGCACAATAACAAAGAAACTATGAATAAGTTGSATGCATCGTTGCCAAACAAGACTACAAAGAACAGTTAGCCGTCAGTAAGTCGTGCCCTGACTTCGCGTTGGTGAAAATAAAGGTAACTTTCAATGCATGTTTGTGTTATCCCCTTCCGTCACGCAACTTACCATCTCCAGTAACGTATTCCACTAGTTCGTAGTCGGTCTTAGTGTAGTTCAACAAGTATAAGATGCCTTCAGCGAGCTGCAGACAAAACAAAATGATTAGATCACAGCCTTCCTTACAAGAAAAGCAAGTAAAAGCAAACGTTACTCTCAAATGCGCATGCCTGCCGTATTAGAAACCTCTACGAAGCCCATGYACTTTTCTATTCTGGGAACTATTTTCAAGTCTTATTTTTCTAAATTAAAAAAACATTCCGAATCATTTTAAGTTTTTCTAGCATCACGCTTGTTAAGGATGTGTATCTTTATTCTACACTAACGGAGTGTCCCTAAATAATTTAGTTCAAATTATAGAATTAAAATAAAACGTATCATCACTTTAAATATTTATGTTTACCGCAAGCAAACGGCCGCTTGGGGCATAAATTAGTCTTTCAAGTACACCTTTTGC